AGCGTGAATAAAGTATTCGTGGTAAATGAGCAACATGAATTGAGAATATATGTTATTAATTAATATCTATGAACTACATTGGTGTGCTTGATTTTAAAAGGATTTTTCATAAGATATTAATTAAAATAATTAGTTAGCCATTAAGCTCGCATAGAAATCATGTATTTATAGTACATTTACAGTACCATTAAAAGTACCAAAACATTGATATTGTTGTCACAAAAATACATAATGTTTTGTTTTTACACCCTATGAGCCTTGCAATTACCCAATTGACCTCAAGTGATTTTCATAAAATTCCTACCCAACTTATGCAATTTTTTTAATAAATTATTCTAGGACTTTTGATGAATTATAATATAGTAAGCAAATTTCATGGACGCATTTTGGTATCCGTTAAGTTATCAGAAGTGATTGTCATCTCCAAACTGTAATATTTTCTCAGTATGAAACCTTTATTTTAAATAATCTTAACGTTAAGGTATACAATATTAACACAGACTACACTAACAACGTCATCAGACCAGCCAACAAGTGTCTAATGTTGGGGACAAATACGTTATTTAAGTTAGCGTAATGAGGCCTGATGGGACACTTTATATCATAGTGGTTACACAAGGAAATATATACCATAGTTATAACTACTTATTATCTCTCAAACTATTAATCAGTTAAAATTACAAACAAACACGGTTTATTGTGAAAGTACTTGAAAACCATGGATGAGTTGTTAAAAGTTAATAAATTGTTGTCAGAATTATTTATTTTTTAATCCGTTATAGCAGTTTACGCAAAGGCGAGTGCCTTAAAAACTTCTACAAGTGTCGTTAACACTATTTACGCGAGTTACGTACACTACTTTACCTACGACAGTGTTTTAATTGATAAACATCACTAATCATAAATTCTAAGAGATGTTATGTTTTCGTTTATAACCTCTCATTACCACTGACAATGATGCAACGAAACATCGACACACATCACTTTAAAAAACGGTCGTAGGGAAAATGATTTGTTTAAGAGAAGTATACTTATGATTTTAATTGTTTTATTCACATAAAAGGAAGAAAATAATATCTGGGAAAATTTTATTTCCATATGATTTTATAGCTTCAAGATTTTTTTACTTAGTGTTTCATTTCGCTTTTACTTGCATTTTCATTATTACATATTACATTATTACATATACGGTGTAATTATTACATTATTACATGTATAATGTACAGCTACGTTGTACAATCCTCACCACACAATCTTGGCAAAGCAGCTGGAGTTTAGGAGGTATTAATAGTAATTACAGTGGTGGCTTATAATGGACAGTAATCAAGGCATAAGACCCCATATATTGCCTATTGATATAGTATTCTATGTGGCATCTGTATTGCACCATATATAGAAACACAAGGGAAAAATTGCATTCCTATTCTAGCTTGTCAATACAATACTTATTACTTGTATTATTAATATATATGATAAGAAAACTGACATCTGCCTCTTCTGTATTATTTAGTTAAACTCCATAACGCATTGTACATTTTCACACTTATTCACAAAAAAAAGATTATTTGGATAAAAACATTTTATACTTTATCAAAGGATTTCTATATTTGTTTACAAGCTCACAATGTACACTTGGTTTTCAAACAATCATTCAGTTCGATAACATTGAATGGATGTAAGTAAATATACAACATCACAAGAAAATGTTGAACGTTCTAATCATTTACGACTTATTACAAACCATTATATCCTGCATCAATAGGTTAATATAGTCAAGAGTCCAGTAGTAATTTCCCTAGGGGTAACTGTATGCCCAGACACGTGCCATATAACACCCTAGGGAGAACTCCTGTAACTTGCTTGTTGGCTCTACCATCTATAGAGTCAAAAGTCCCGTAGAATTCTTTATTGTAGTGCGAGTGAAATATAAGGTATATTGTTGATAACCTTTCTCCGTTTTATCTTACTGTTTTTGCTATTCGTTTTAGTACTACGTAACAGTAATACAGTATACCCTTAGCCAATCTTATTAATATTTTACTTTATTTAAAGTCTCTGACATTCATTTTTTGGCCTTGTCACCAGTCACTACTTTGTTTAAGGTTTCTGGATTAATTTTGTTTTAATTTCTTCTGTCTTTACTTCTGCCCTTTCATCTCGAAACGTTATTGCACAAAAATGTATTATTTTAAGGTGTTCTCATACAAAAAAAATATTTACAACATTTTATAACAAATAAGTATTGCATTTTTATTTAATAGACAATACACAGTAACCTAGTGCTTGTTTATTTAAAACAGTTTTCATTCCATTCCTAGTAAGGCTAGCTTCAATCTGTTAATTTTCATAGCTCTATATGCAGTTTCAAAATAGCTTACCATGTTCAAACATATATGTAACATTCATATTTGAGAGAGAATATAATCACCCTATTGAAAGATTTGTTGTAAACTTGCCTAAGCAAACATTGTGGTAAGTAAAGTATCCAGAAAAAACAATAATTTACTATTCTCAGAGGATCGCACCATTAACAGAAATTATATAGAACCTTTGATTTCACGTATAGACAACCATTTATAACACATTTTTAAAAAAGAGGAAACAAATATTTTTTTCCTTATTTGATAGGCCTTTGTGATAATAGTACAGAAAGGTCATTATGCACTTTCATGTAGTGAAATAGTACATCAAGTTGAAAATATATATAGATTAAACTATAGATTGCATGCTGCAACACTAAATTATGTAACTTTAGAAATTCATGTTGTAATAGAGCATTGTATTCAGTTTTTTTAATGTAATCCTATTTCCCATATATCCTTACTAGTAAATTAGTTTGGAGTTGGTTTCCAAGGTGTTAAGATTCTCTGAAATTTGTCTAGTTCTGCGTGAGGTAGGCCTATATTTTTTACATACAAATAACATGTGTAACTATAACATCATGACATTTAGAGATGTTATCACGTATGAAGATAAAATTAATGGCAAGTGCATTGCATCAAGTAAAACCAGGTCTCCCAAAAATAATTTATCAAAATTAAACGGTATAAACAGCGTTCACAATTTTACTAAACATAAAAATTTTATGTATAATCTTCCCTTAACGTCCTAAATTTTTCCTACCATGGTTTCACCACATAACTTCTATATGGTCTCCATTATTTTTTGGTCGAAGAAATTCAAGTCAGTCTTCCAGCTCTGACCATACATTGTGGCAGATTTCATTCGATATTTTTCCAAAGGCTTCCATTATGCTTTAAATTAATCTATGTTTGAGGTCGGCGAGGCGAGTGATACACTTGATCTTTCACAAACTCTTAGACAATAGTTATTTGTGCAACTAGTGAGCAAAGTGAGCAATTGACTCACTCGAGAGAAATACTTACTCACGAGCCGTAGGCGAGTGAGGAATGGTTTCTCCAGTGAGGCAATTGCACTTTGCACTCGAGTTGCGCATTATATTTTTCCTACAGATACCATAAAACAAATAAATTGGTAAAGAAACGTAATATATTTTTACACAGAAATGAACTTGTAATATGACATTTAATGATACAACAGTACAACAGCTGACCAGATGATTTACAGCCAGTGCTGCTAACGTATTTCGCGCGCATACGACCTTGTCTGCATGTTACGCGCTCACTATTTCGTGCCTTCACGTTGCAAATCTGGAGTGAGACAAAGAAATTAGAGTGAGACAATGTTAACATTGTCTCACTGATGAGCGAATTGGCCACTTTGCTTTCTCAAATCAGTGAGAGAACATGTACATTGTTAGGTAACTGTAGGAAAAATAATAACACAGATTTCGTCCCTATAAACCATTGAATACACAGTTTTTTCAACTACACCTCCATATTGCAACTGTATGTTATGAAAATTCAAATGTGCTAACAACAATGGAACAGCTGATTATTGTTAAAGGGTACTAAACAAAACTTAATGATGCAAGCTTTACAATTTAGCCATAAATGACTTAACTACGATCCTTGGTAACAAGAATATTAAGCTGTAGATTTTATCAATTTTTTTGTGACACAATGTAATGCATAATATAAATAAAAAAGTGTAATCATCTTGGTTGATTCAATTTTAGATTACCGTAGTCGACAATTATTTATTTAAATACTAAAAATCACGAGATTCAACTATCCCTGCATTAATCAGAATGGCATGGCATAAATTAAATCTTAAGTCGTTCCCTTGTACTCTGGGTTTAATATTTCCCAGCAAGGCTCACCAGTGATGTAGAAGTGAGATATTACAAGCAGATTATATCAGTTTAACCCCTAATTTCGTTATCTTGGCGCCCAAGCCTGTCACCCAACCAGATGTTATTGGATATTATACCGTCTACGAGCATCTCATATTATCATACGTCTTTTACCTGGTAATTTTACACAGGAAATTATATGAATAAAATTATTTTTGTGTTTCTGTACGAAATATTTCTCATTCTGATCGTTATCCGTTATTTAAAAAAGTATGATATGATAGCAGTAGATACGCTCAATACTTGGTAAAAATATATTATGAAAATTAGTACAAAATAGTGATAGTTAGTACAGAATAGTTATCAGAAATCTGACACGTATTTTGTCCTGTTAGCTTGAAAACAACACTTCAGGGGTAAGTAACTGGTAACTTGGTGGGGTAAGTAAGTGGTGGAAGTAACTGTGATATTTCAAAGGGGATATCCAACCGTTCCAGCATTGGAGATAATAGAATTTTGTTTATACTATAAGGACCATAAAATACTGAATTTAAATAAAATTTGTTCGAATAGCTTTTAGTTAAAATCTAGTTTTTCAACTTTCGTTAGTTATTGCGGGGAAATTACAAGCAAAAATCAAAAACATGAAAATAAGGATGTAGTCTGTAGCTCTGTACACATCCACATAGGCATCACTTCGAAAATTCTTTTGGACTTTCAAAACGGATATTTCCATCCAAAACTTGACCTGGAAAATGTTTACGAAAACAATACTTTCTGCATACTATTTACAGGAGTAAAACTTGAAAATCAACACGCTCGCTCGCTCCCATGGCCATTTATGCCCAAGGCGGGATTTGACCGCACCAACAACTGCTTTCCATCTCTCTCGATCTTCTGCCTCTTCCACTTCTGCCCCCACTTCTCTGACGTCCCTGGAAACACTATCCCACCATCTCTTCTTGGGCCTTCCTAATGGTCGTTTCCCTTCTGGCTTTCCTATACTTGCTTCTTTTAGTAGTGAACCTCGTTCTCTCCGTAGTGCGTGTCCTGCCCACCTTATTCTCCTTGCTTTCACGTGTGCTACTACATCATAATCATTGTACATATTCCTTATCTCCCTATTATGCCTTTTTCTCCATTCCCCATTTTCTTGTATTGGTCCATATACCATTCTTAAAATTTTGTTTTCAAAAACAATCATTTTGTTTTCTTCTTTTTTATTTAAAATCCAAGTTTCAGCTCCATATGTTAATACTGGTCGAATTATACTATGATATATTTTTATTTTCGTTTTATGTGAGAGAATCTTTGAAGTCAACAATTTCTTACAAGAATACATACATTTATTGGCCTGAGCAATCCTATAATTTATTTCCATTTCTTCACTATTGCTGCTTGATATAATTACCCCTAGATATTTAAATTGTTCAACAACTTCAAAAGTATGTCCATCTATACTAATTTCATTTGTCCTCACTTCATCTGGCTGTCTCGTGAAGTGTATATATTTTGTCTTCTCATCATTAATCTTTAGGCCCATTTTTTCTGATTTTTTTTATGAACAGTCTGGTTAGCTCCTCTAGGTCATTTCTGTTTTTGGACAGAATTACTACATCGTCCGCAAAAGCTAGGATGTTTATTTTTGTTCCCATTTCTAAACCTATATTTGTTTGTCTTACTTGTTGGAGGGCCTCTTCTAATGCTATGTTAAATAGTATAGGCGACATTCCATCACCTTGCCTTACGCCTGTTCTTACTTCAAAGCTTTCTGATAACTCTCCATCTACTTTTACTTTGCATTTTGATTCATTCAAGGACATTTCTACTAGTTTTATTAGTTTTCTGGGGATCCCAAACTTTTCCATCTGCTGATATATTCTTCCCCTGTCAAGGCTATCATAGGCCTTCGAAAAATCAATGAAAAGCCCATGTACTTCTTTATTGTATTCCCAGTGCTTACTAATAACTTGTTTAAGTATGTGAATCTGGTCCATTGTAGATCTCCCTTTTACAAATCCTGCCTGGTGATCCTCTATTATACTACTTGTGTATTCCTCGAGTCGCTTTTGAATAATCTTTGATAAAACTTTATATCCATGACTGAGCAAAGATATTCCTCTGTAATTTCCACATATTCCTTTGTCTCCTTTTTTATATATTGGCACTATTATAGATTCTTTCCATGTTTTTGGCATTTTTTCTTCGTTCCATACTCTACATATTATATCATGGAGTTTTTCTAGTGTAGTCCTGCCACCTTTTTTAAATAATTCTGCTACTATACCATCTTCTCCAGGAGATTTGTTATCCTTTAAGGAATTTAATGCTTGTTCTACTTCTTCAATACTTGGATTCTCAACAAGAGGTTGTACATCATGGTATATGGGGATTTCTTCATTATTGTCAATTTCTTCCCCATTTAGTAACTCCTCAAAGTGCTCTCTCCATCTGTTGGTCACTTCCTGTTTCTGTACTAAAATATTGCCCTCTTTGTCCTTAATGCCAAATGCATTTGCTGTATATCCACTTCTGAAGTGCCTAACACATTTAAAAAAGTCTCTGGCATTTTGTGCACTCTGATCTCTTTCTGCTTTTTCTAGTAATCCCTTCAAGTACTCTCTCTTTTTCTTACGCAGGGTTCTTGTGGTTTCTTTGTTTACTCTAAAATATTCTTCTCTATCTTCGTTAGACTTACTGTTCAACCACTTCTTTTTCCTCTCGCTTCTTTCCAGTATAGCTTGCTCACATTCTCCATCAAACCATGGATTCTTCCTTGCTCTCTTCTTTTTACCACAAACTTCTTTTGCTGTGTTAAGTATACTGTTTCTGAACGTTTCCCATTTATTTTCTATGTCTTCCATAATCTCTGTTTCTTCCGTGTCACCTAGAACTTGGAATCGGTTATGTAGTTTGATCCTAAATTCTTTAACTAATGTGGTTTGCTTTTTTAGTTTTTCTACTGCTAAAACTTCTGTAACTTGTTTGCTGTGGTTTATCTCCAGTGATATTCTTTGAGTGAGTTTGACAAGTATTAAATGATGGTCTGATCCACATTCAGCTTCTCTAATACTCCTAATATTTGACACACTACTCTTGTTTCTATTATCTACTAGCACATGATCGATTTGATTTCTGGTTCTCCCATCAGGAGACATCCAAGTCTCTTTATGTATATTCTTCCTTTGAAAGGACGTACTCATAATTCTGAGGTCTTTTGCCATTGCAAAGCTGCATAATCTTACTCCATTACTACTTGTTATATCATGTAGGCTCTCTTTACCTGCGACTTCTCTCCATATAGGTTCTTTTCCTATTTTCGCATTTGCATCTCCCATTATAATTTTCATATCGTAATTTGGTAACTTGTCTACCACTTGCTCCATCATTTCATAGAAGTCATCTTTCTCCTCTTCGTCCTTATCTTCAGTAGGTGCATAAAAAGTTACAATGGAAATATTCTTAAATTTACCCTTAATCCTAATATTGCACATTCGTTCATTCACAGCCTCAAAATAAATCACAGATTTAGCTAGTTTTTTACTCACAGCAAAACCAACTCCACCATAATATCTATCTTCATCACAGCCACTATAATATATACGATTATATTATCAACACGACTTTAATATAATAAAAGAATAAGCTGTATAGTTACATACACTTACTGCAAGTACATTTAGTTATTTACTCAACAAGCAGCCATTTGTTTAAACCCCTATTTCAATTACCGGACAAAACGAATTACGGTGAGTGACGTAACATTTGTCTCATGACGTCACAGAGCTCCAGGCAATTACTGGACTTGACATTGACTAATTACTGACTTGTCTTGTAACTACTCTGAGCTGAGGAATTTGTGTCACGGAATTAATTACTTTCTAAACGTCTACAAGATAAAGTCAGCAGAGGGACTTGTGTGTTTAAATACATACTGCGTAATAAGTATATTGCAATGTTCTTGCACAGATTTTAATTATTAAATCAATTGTATGGTACAAATATACGATCGTAAAGATAAACTATAAGTACCAATAAGTAGTCAATAATTATTAAACGCAATACATTTTGAATAAGGTAATAAAAAACCACACCACTAGCCAACTAGGAAAAACACACTTCAATATCAGAAAAATGTAATACTCTTGTTTTATTTATTGAAATGTTTCAAGATTATCGCTTACTCAGATTCTATGAAGAAAAGTTGCGTAGAAAGGAAACAGAAAAATTAACGCAATCAATTGTTTCTGTTACTGCTAAATCTATCTTTATTAATAATGAAATATCCTCTTGCAACAACCCTAACATATCCTGGACTAGTTAACTATATATTTCAATGTTGGTTCATACATTAAATGGTACGTAATTCCTATTTAAAGGAAACAAGAGTATTTAATAGATGGTCTGTCTGAATAATACCTCTCTTATACAAGCGAAAATGTTAATCCAAAAATTCATTACTCTGGTAACTGGAAAATTCAAATTCAAATTAAAAAAAATTAATAATTTAAATTTAAATATATTTATTTATGATAATACAACATCTAGGCCTTCCCAAGTTTACAAAATATGTCGGCAATGTCCAATTGATACACAAAAAGTAACAAACAATTTTTTTTCTATTTAACACAAATGTTTCTAGCTCAACCAATTCCATGGCGGTTTGTGGCAGGCACCTGTCTATACAGAATAATTTGCAGCAGAAATACAAAACTCTTAATATAGTTTGAAAAATTGCTGTACCATCTATCTGACTTATAATCTTTGCATTATTCCGTTGTCTTTGTTTTCCTGGTTCATAGACCAGTAGTTTCTAATTTATCCAATTTATCTATCCAATTTATTTATCTAATTTATCCTCTTATTAACAAAATAATTTAATAAGAGTAAGCTTTATTCAGACGAAGTCCTTTTACAAGACCAATACAGTTGTTATTGTTATAACGACTTTCAATGTAGTTTTCTTCCAACCATCAGCAGAACCACCAAAACATTACAAGACATTATGGAATCTCATATTTCTTCGGGTAGTCATTGGTTGTATTTACTACTTGCACTCCTGACAGTGTACATGGTCGATAAATCAACAGATTCCCTAACCTTCAACATGAGTGACAGTAATCTTAAGACAATAACTAACAGCTAACACTACTGATCTCGTATGCAACCATTACATCAGGTGTTAGTCATTCAGGTATGCGAGATTAGTTTATTCTTCAATAACTACGCAAAGGTAAGTTTACATAATTATCATGTTATAAAAACATGACATAATACTTTAATACTTTTCATTGAAATGGCAACCATACAACTCAGGTATTTTAAGCCAATTATGAATGGAGATGAGTGTAGAATGAGTGGCGCGATCATGTAGTCTTGTTAGTGACTAAGCCTGACATATTCCTTAGACACTGCTGTTAATTAGTAGCCCATGCAGCTAATGGCAACTAAGGGACCTACAGTTTATAGTGGAATTAGAACCACATTTTTGCCTCGGTATTAACGAATTTGTCTAATTATCAGGATAGTACTGCGGACTATAGTTTAAATCACATTATAGTTTTTAATCACTTAAGATTTTTTTTCAATTACATAAGTTTATAAAATATGGCATTGTTGGAGTTAGCAGTGGCTGTCATTAAAACTTCGTGATACCTTGAATACATTTTAATTCAAAAACAATGATTGATTTATTGATAATTGAATACAATAAAGCTCGTATATTCATTACATTGTTTGAACCGATCCTCTCAGTGGAATCCTCAACTTAACGATGCTGGGGACTTGAGGGAATTGACTACAGCTTTATACTTTCAATCTAATCATCTCCCTTGTTTACGAACTTGTTTAGCTGATTATTTTAAAACTGGTATGAGATGTAAACACATTAAGAATGTGATTAAATTTATTTATGAATCTATTTTATTATATTTAGTTCTTATGGTTAGTTTAGTAATTATGTTAGATCATATACTATACTTTTTACTTTAAATGCATTTTTAGGATATGAATGATTTTGTATGTACATTCTAAAATCGATGAATACAAAACCTATTAACACAATATAAAGTACAGAGACAGTGAGGATTATCGTTTAGATTATGTTAAGTATTTAGTTAGTGTTAACTTCTGTTTTATATTCTTACTTGTAAGGTTTTTTTTTGTTTTTTTTTTTAAATTGGGATTAAGTTAAATTACAAGTGAAGCAGACTTTTGACCCACATTTTCCTTTTTATTGAAACTGGTTTTAACGGTAAGGTGGCAGTAGCGAGTAATAAGACGATAATTTAAGTCTGCTTCTTTACAAAGGCTTAAAGATATTCTTCTCTTAAAGATCTTTTTCTTTTAAAACATAGTCTTTTATACACGTTGTATACGTGTCTAAGGCGACCGGTGGAAGGAAATACGTCAAAATGTCCAAAACAAAACAACTGATCATAAAAATGCCTCTAGTTAGGTACATGTACTAAAGAACAATAGTAAATTATATGATTTGTTATTAAATAGCAACAGACAAAAATTAACCAAAGGATCACAAAAATAAATCTTTCTAAATATTTTGTTAGTTTATTGTATTTGTGTGGTGTAAGATGGATGAGTCCACGATGACGAGATAAGATTGAATGGTTCCACGACCCAAGAGATTAATGGTACAGATGTGGCTGTGGTAGTTTGAGGTAGGAAAGTAAGACATTATACTAGAGATTTAGGTAGTGTTTTGTAAATACAATAAGTTGATTACATGTATTGTCTAATTAACATCATCTTTATTTTAAAAATAAACTTAATACGATTTTAACACCTTTGGTCAAATTTAACACGTTCCCGATCACATTCCCCTATATCTGAGAGATGAGTAGTATGGTGGATAATGTATTAATAATTGTTATTTCTACGCGTGTTTAGTTCAGATGTCTTTATTTAACTAATGTGCTTTTTCAATTATTAGTTATTTCTAGATCTTATTGTCCATACCGGGTTTTAATTTAAATATTCATGTATTTACCTAAAGATATTACATTCGGAGGCAACGAACGTATTTCAATCTAATCAGGTTAATGTTTAGTTTCATTTACACAGTTTATGTACAAGCCAAACAAATGTAACAAAAACAGTATATATGGTGCAGTTATTTTTACCCAAATAATTATTTTTTACAATTTATATACATTCACATAGTTATAAGGACATAAGAAAAATCTTGTATAATAGCTTAAAGGGTTTACAGGAATGTGTTCTACTAACTAAGACCTTTAATTTGACACCAAACTCGACGTATGGTGCCGTTTAAAACTTTTGACTGACTCCTTGTGGGCCGTCCCTCTGGATAAAAAAATATAATAGACCTTATAAAAAAGGGACAAAAAAGGGAAAAAATAGACCAAAAAAGGGTAGACATTTATGGCTATTATTAGTATACCGAGTCTAATTTCTTAATCTATTGTGGTAAGAAATATATTACACCGTTCCAGGACTTTTCAATCACACTGTATAGCTTATGTAATGGACGAAAAGAAGCTTTCAATTTGTTTGGCTCTCCAACATTTTGTTGGACTATAAACACAATAAATAATTTTCGTTTTTATTTGAGTATTGGATAATATAAAAAAAATTAGATGTTGTTAACACGTCAGAAATTGTTTTAATATGCAAATTTGGCATAAACAAGTCTTGATAACCTTTAGAAAGCTATTCATGTGTGTAATAAACTTCGATGGTTTTACTATTCAAATTTATAAAGTAAATTGAGTTTGTTTTCTAAGACATGTTCTTTATTAAGCGTACAGTATGCATGTTAATATCCCACCTAGAAAACCCAAGGTTCCAAGGAACTCACGTTGTTGGTTTCACCACAATCAGTCAAGTAATCAGTCAGTGTCCGGATCAGTAATTGTCTAGCATGTAGTAGCACTGATGTATCTGACGTTATAGAGGTTATGTTAGTAAGTTAGTATTAACAGCAATAACTGTTGTAACTCAGATTTTAATATACAGGTTGTTTCCAAATTGTCTGGACATATTTTGTTGACTTGTTCCTTGGGCTAAGACAAACATGAAATGCCGTATAAGTATGGGTCTAAAATCCCTGGATTCTGTTTGTCGGCCTGTTTGTGATATTTAAGAGTTACTTTATATCTTAAGCATTTTTCGAGATAGAAATTTCAAAATTGGTATAAATGTGTGTTTTAGTAGGTAAAAAGAGCATACAAACTTTCGTTCTAATATCTCAAGCCGTTTTAATATGACGGCCATTTAAAATCTGTAATACCAAATTTCATCAAAACACCGTAAATATTAAGAAAATAAATGTTGTTCGGATCAAAAAGGTAGAACATTTAAGTCCAAATCAAATGAGACCTTGTTTGTCAAAATCGGATGACAAACAACTGAGTTATCAGTTTTTTCCTACATTCAGTTACGCAATTTGATAAGACTACCATAGGTACTTCTTTGTAAAATAACAAATAAACAATACGGAAGTCCTATTAAATAA